AGGACAAACAACATTGCAGTCAGATTCTCTGCAGTAGCTACAGACCATCTCTTTGCATTACCAATCAGAGGCAGGGTTTCAGGGGCTCAAGCTCATCAAGCTCTGAGGAGGGGTGGCTGAATCTGTGCTGGCAGGTGCCTCAGCTGCCACGGCTGCACAAGATGAAATATTGATACACAAGCTTCACTGTCCAGAATTGCAGAATGCAGCTCATGTACCAATTACAACTACTTTGCCCCAGCATATACTGTATCTCCTGTCCTGTGCAAACTGCATTGGCTCCCCATCAAATTCAACTGAAGAGCTCAGCTCCAGGTTAAGGCCTTTACTGCATGAGTGTAGACCAGCACTTAATTTGACATCTGCTGTCTCAGGTCCAAGACCAGGCTACACACAGTGGACAACAGAGCTTTCTGTCTGCTGTATATATAGAGCCTGAGACACCAGACATCTTTAAAGTTTATTTAAAGACCTACTTTTTAACTATAACTTTTCATGAATAATTCTGCGTTACCACTTCAGTTTATATGGTTTATTTTCTGTGTGATTTTTCTTTCTACTTCTGTGTTGTGTGCACATAATATTATTTTACAGTGCTTTGGGGTTTTTTTTCAGTAGCGGTAACAAAGAAAAGTCCATATTATTACATGCACAACCTTTAGTCAGTAGGAGTCAGGACCATAGCAGAGGAGCACGATCTTGAAAACAATGCAATAACAGTCACACCTTTAGAAGTGCTCTGATAACTGCCACTAAAAACCGTTACAGAAGAGGTGTGGCTGTTATGATGATTTAGTTATTCTGTCTCTTCCCTTAAAAATAATTTCTTTGCTTGGGCTGTAACCTCAGAATGACCTGTGGTGGTGACACAGAAACGAGGCCAACAGAAGAAAGAAAGACAGCTAAATGTGAGGCCGTGATTACGTGCAAGCGCTCTGGAACTGCAGCTGCTCTGCTTGTCCTTGTCGTTTGTGCCCGATCCAAACAATTCGGCCACAACCAGCTCTTGAAAAATCCCACTAGTCACTCAAGCAAATGCAAGTGGCAGCGAGTGAAAACAAGTCAACGCTGGGCGGATTCAGAGCTGGGCACAGCCCTGGTGTCCACCCCAGACACCAGGAGGAGGTCAAGATTCACCGAGCTCCGAGACCCGTGCAATAAGCAAAATAGACTTTGTTTTTAAAAGATGATATTATTTCTCAATTGTTTCCATTTGTCTGCCTGATTTCTACACCAGGTCCTTCATCAATACCAGTGAGAGCAGTCCGCCCTCCCTTGTCACCCTCCAGGCACCAGTGAATCACCTGTGCTGAGATCAGGCACTGCACCTCTCAGACAGCCACTACTTGTTGAGTTCTGTGGACTATAAAGAGATGCGTGCTATCCTTTAGTCACTTAAGACAGGACTTCTCTGCTTCTCCCTGTTCATCTGACCAGATTTAAAGTTGGTTCTTAAGAGTTCTTTGTCCTTGTTTTGCTTAAATTTGGGTCTATCATCTAAACATATTTGAACTTTCTAAATCATTTAACTATATATAGTAACTACCCATTCGTGTACCGACCAACCTGCCTGTGCAGCTATGTATTGAGCTTCCTATTCTCCTATCCTGTGGCACGTTGGCTGAAATGACGCTGAAGCATTCAAGTGCTGTTCCCCTGTGTTCCAGGCTTGGTTGCTCCATCCTTCCTAAGTGAGCTTCATAACTGTTTTGAGAAGTGATTTTGAGCAACAGTAAGTTACAAATTCGAGCCCAGACGCAGCAAAAAAAACAATTCCGAGGCTAACAGATGACACGCATAACAGCAGAGGAAATAATATCAAAAGAGGTAGTACAGGAACAAGTAGGTTCACAAACTTCAGATGAATATACAGTATATATAAAACATTAGAACTTATTTGTTGCTCAAACAGGATATGAAGAGAGAAGATGCCCCTGTGATAGCTTTAAATACAAGTTCCTTAATAAATGAAAAAGATATGGCAAATGTTAACTACCTGTTACTTAAGCTACTTAATTTTCTTCTGCTGCGGAAAAAGAGAAGGGAGGATAATGGCAGAAAATCCCAGCAGGCTCAGAGGGATACCATCACGAACGTCTGTTCTGACCACTAAACCACTGACAATGGTTCATGAATACAGGCCGGCTAATTCTTAATCCCCGTCCTCTCAGCTCGCTTTTCTGAAAAAACGGGATTTGACCGGTGTGAAAGTGGGGTTCTGTGACACAGGAAAAGGACTGTGTGGGAAGCAGGGAGTAGAGGCGGGCGGCGAGGTCGAGGGTGAACCAGAGAATGGAGGCAGACAGAGGTAAACCAGCAGGGAGAAAGAGACGGGGATGAATGACCGGGCCGGAGAGAGAGGACAGAGGTCCAGCAGGGACAGCAGGGCGAGACACAGCGGAGGACTAGAAAGCCAGGGAGGTGTAGCACTCAGAGGAAGGTGGTGTGAAAGATGGACACCGGCAGCACAGAGAGAAAAATGAAGTGGAAAAGAACAGGAGGAGGGAGGGAGAGACGAAGAGAGGAGGAGGGGGGGGGAGAATGCAAAAGAGGGAGAAAGGGAGGAAGAGAGTGAGAGGGGAGGGGGAGAAATGGAGTATCCATCTGGCACGGAGAAGCCCGAGTTCCCTGCCAGCCTCCAGGAATTCTCCCAAAGGAAGTGAGCTGGAATGCGGGGAATGCTGGAGCCGTGCCGGGATGGCAGGATGGAGAGCCGAGGGGGAAACAGCAGATGCCTGATGGCTCTGACAGGGTGTGGTGCGGAGCGGAGACCCCAGTAACGCGCGCAGTGCCCCAGCAGCGCTGCACACACTTCCATTCGGTTTCGCCTGCGCTGGGAGATGAGGGATTCTCCCAGTCCTAGAGCTGAAACACACATGTTCTCCCCATTTCTTTTTTTGGGTGAAAGGCAAGTCTGCAGACTTTCCCCAACTCTCTCAATACACACTGTAGTTAAATGTATGAGCTTAGATCTGCGCTTATCTGTGCTAAGCTTCCAGACCTTGGTTTGACCTTTACGGAACTTTATTACACCAAAAATGCAGATCTCTGCTATTTTAATCAGAAAAGTAACGCTCTCCCAGCACAACAGAATTTCCTAGCTGCTGACTGCTCAAAGGGAGCTTTCATCAGTACACTGACTGCAAATCTACAGAGTCTAGCAAAAGGTTTGATTTGAAAACACAGGAAATGTCAGGACGGCTTCACAGGAGTCAGGATTAAAGATGTACAGTAGCTGAATGCTCAGAGAAAGTTCGAATTTCAGTACCTGTTTCACTTGTAATGACAAAAGCTTGTAACTGGAAATAAACTTCATTTTAAAAAGCCAAGCTCCTTTTTTAGTGGCACTGTGCCAACTCTTAAAAAGTTCAACCTGCTTTTTGATTACCTGCAGAGAGCAGACACTCCTGTGTGCTGACTGGGCTGAATACAGAGGTTCTCTGGTTATTAAAGTGTCACCTTGACTGTCATCTCACATGTGAAAATTGTCTGTATCAAGGCGTGCAATGGAAAAGACAACTGGACAGATTATTTGTTCTGAGGAGCATTATGTTACAATTTATCTGAATGATTTTAGGTGGGGGACCTAAAAGTGCGTATTTAGCTGAAAAGACTAAATTCCATAATAAGTGCCGAGTTTGGATTTTGACCAGAGGATCTTTCTAAATAAATCAAAATAAAAACCCAATACAATGAGCATTTAATACCCTTGTTTTCAATGCAGTAGAATAGCCACTGTTTAAAAGGATTAATTTCAACAGGATTTTACTTTCTTAAATAAAGATTTTAAGGTTTAGAATTACATGTACTTTCACATGTGTATTGCAAATATCAGAATGAGTAAGCGTGCTCTTGGTGCAAAAGACATTTCTGTCTCTAAATATATTCTTTACTAAATTTGTTTTAGATTTTGTATATGTCACCCTTATGTTTAGATTTTACAACACTGTGTTTTAGGTTATGCGGTATGTTGTATGAGCTCAAAAAATTCAAACTATTAGTTTGTTGTAGAATTTCTCTCCAGCTTTTCTGATGTGGGAGGAGCAGGGAAATGGTGGATATTCTTTATGTTCTGTGAACAAATCTGCTCTTAATTATCGAGTTGTCACTGTACACCATCTGGAATCAACTG